AATAATAATAATAATAATAATAATAATAATAATAATAATAATAATAATAATAATAATAATAATAATAATAATAATAATAATAATAATAATAATAATAATAATTTATGAAGTTAATTTATTTAATAGAATAGGTATTTTGTTTTATTTATGTTATTATGTTATTTATAAATTTTATTTTTGTTAATTTGATATTTTTGTTTTTAACAGTTGGCTTATTCTTGGTTATTTGTTTTTTTAACAGTTGGCTATTTCATGGCTATTTTATTCAGTCCAACTGGCTAAATTGTATTTTACATACCTGGCAACTTAAAAGTGGAAGAACGGGAGCTCACATTATTTGTGTTCAACCGAACTTCGCCTTTTGTAAAGAATTATTTGTATTTTTTACATATTTTGTTGCAATAAAGACATTATTATTATTATTATTATTATTATTATTATTATTATTATTATTATTATTATTATTATTATTATTATTATTATTATGGGAATTTTTAAGACAATATTTAAATTAAAGCTTATGTTATTCGTAATATCATAATCGTAATACCATATATGGTTATTTATTATTTGGTTATTTTTTGAACTTGAGATTTAGCTAAATTTTAAAACCATTAGTAAGTTATTGTTGTTTGTTAGCGAATAAAAACAAAATTATTTACAAAAGGGTAATAGGGTATAAATTTTGTGTATTCATAAGGATTTTACTAGATTTTTATCAGAAAATGTCAATTAATTTACAAATTAAATAGCTTAAGCTATCCAATTATAAAGTTTGTTTGATGAATGTTTATATCACTGCTTACTATTTAATTTAAAAATAATGTTTGTAATTTGTTTTTAGTTTAAGCACATATAGTTAATAGGTGTCAAATATTTTATATTCTTACATCTTATGCGAATACGAACTGTTCACAAAAGTGTGTTTTAAATTTAATTATTAATAAAATAGATCCTATTATTTTCTCAAACAAAGTATTTAGTGCTTAGAAATAGTATTTTGTGCATAAAATCGATTGAACAAGTGAGGATGATAATCTTTTAAAAATTCTTATAGAGTTAATTAAAACTTTGTTTATAATTTTACGGTGGACCCTGTGTAAAAAATACCGAAGATTGTCAATTTAATATAAATTGCCCAAATGTATTTTGTATTAATTTTTATGTGGTACTTGTGTGACTTTTTCGAAATACAATAAAAATTATAATAGTAAATCAGGTAAATAATAAAAATATAAAAATTGCTTTCTTCTAGTAAATTTTAAAATCTATTATTTTATATTTATATTTATTTTATAAGATTAAAAATGTTTTGTATTTGAAGGAACATAATTTCTCTTAGGTTTAGGCATATACCGATACAAAATCCTAATGTTTCAACTTTGTAATGTGTTTATATAAAAGTTTTCTAGGAAATTGTAAATACATTTTGTATAAATGCAATATGCTTAATATAGGTTATAAGCTTACCATCATCAAAATATGGTCCTGCTTCGATACCTGAAAGGAGTGATGCTAAAACCAATCCGATGCAGGAGATTACCACCAACCAACAATATTTCATGCTGTACTCCACTAGAAAATTTTTCAATGAGAAGGAACTAACTAGAGAAATGTTTTGAGTGAAGATTATTTTATCGAACAGGTGGCAAAGACGTGAAATGCGAGCTTTCCTGTAGGCGACGCCTTCATTTTATACATTGTTGCCAGCGTTAGTAAATTTTCCTGGACTTTTGTTTTTTAACTTTTTAATTAAACAATCTAGATACAATTAGGCATATTTTTTAACAATTTATAAATTTATTAATCATCGTTTCTTAATTAGGTTAAATTAAATTAATTATTGAAATCATTAACAATTTACCACACATTAAATATAAGGGATGATATTGTAAATGCTTTTAGTGATTTTATGGCAATGCCGCTTTTATAAAGCATGCGTTCAAGCTTGTCGCCCACGTTGTTTTTACTTTGTGATAAATGAACCTATAATAAGGATTTATTGCAATACATTGCTATAATTAGCTTTATATTTACAAAAATACTTCAAGACTGTTTACTTATAGCAAGTTCCTGTAAATAAGTATAAAAGAAAAAAAATGTGCTTCGATATTTATACTTTTTATAGATATTTAGCTATTTCGGCTAAATTTAGAAAAACTTCTAAATAAAAATTTATACATATGCATACTTAGGTTACAGGGACTAGAACAAAAGACAACAGTAATATCCTTCTATTAGCTTTAATTCATAATAACAGTAAATAAAAAACCTAATAACGAATGGGACAGGAAAAACTATGATTTAGCAATATGAGCTTTTTCTTTTAAATTCTGCAAATTGGCATGTAAGAGGGATTTGAAACTTTTGCATATTATTTTTTGGGTGTTACCCTAATGCCTAATGCTATAATCACAAACATTGTAACCATAGAACAAATGTCTATATTTTAAATTTGATAAAGGATGGGACATTACGGACGAACAGAACTTTCTTCTAGAGTTCATACTTAAAAAATAATTTATTAACAAATAAAACAGATAAAAAAAAGGATAACAAAATATAAACGGTAACTGACTTCAATTTTAGTTATTAACATTACATGTACATTCATTAGTGACTTCAGCCTTGTCACACTGGTTAAATAGATACGCACAATTTATTTCGGATTTTCCCGATTTTAAATCCATCCATACTAATCTTTTAACTAGACCCCCTATTTCATCTACAGCCCCTTTACTATAGGACGTGGCAAAAAAATCCACTCTGCGGAGATGCCGAAATTAGTGGGAAAAAAGTTTTGAAGGTTTATACACAAAATATGTTTAATCTACTTAAACTTATCTTCAGTGGCGGCTGGTGGATTTTGGGTATACCGATATCTCTATTATTAGATATGGGACCCATACCAAATTTATATGAGTTTATAATGGCATTAAATAAGTAAGTTCTGCGCAAGCAGAATTTAAATTAAAGATTGCGAAAAAAATATAACTTTTTGCTCGGCCGTACCGGCGCCATGGCGCCCCCAATAAATATAATATAAATTTAATTGGTGCAATTTATTATTTACCATAGTTTATCAATAAATTTCAAATTTCATTTAAAAAATCCAAATTATACTAATTATATACCATTTTAAATTTTTAATAGTTCGTTTCAAAGTAAAAAAAAAAATTTTAAATTGTAACGTGCCACAAGTAAATTTTGTTGAAGATAAAAGTATACAATTTTTTTCTCAAAACGGGCCAAGAAAAATTTAAAACGCGCCACTCATGGCTTTTTTGCCATTGGTCCCCTTGTTGGTGTGTTTCTGGCATAGGATGTGCTGGGCTGGTCGCATAAGGGGGTCGGGGATAATAAATTCCCATCTTCTCCCACCTCATAGCATTCACTTGAGGTGATACTGGTGCTAGGTGTGGTCAAAAACTCATGTGGCTCTTCCTCTGGCACACAGAATTCTACAGGAACTTGTACTGGCACTTCCATGGAAGATGTTAATCTGAAATAAACATACTTATTTACCATCACACTTTTTTAAGGCTTTGATTTTTATTTCATGCAAAAATAATAAATACCTTCTTTTTCTTATATATGTTGCCAGCTATAGCATTTGATTATAGAATATAAAATCTTGGGACTTTTTACATCCACCTGCAGAACCGGAAGGAGGTTGGGTGTTCATCTCTCGCTGAGCCCTGATAAATCTATCTCGTAAATTTTCCCATCGCTTTTTATCAATTGGAACTACAAAAGGAAGAAGCATTGAAACAGTTCGTCATTCATTATAAAATAGTTTGCTCTTGTTTTTACACAGATACAAATAATAATGATTAATTCAGAAACAAACCAAACTACTTATTTAAATTAGGTATAAATTTATTTACCTGAATTCACTCTACCTTCCAAAATTTTTCATTTTTGCTCACAAATTGTATTATTACCTCGAACGTCAAGATTTTCCATTGTTTTTAAACATTTGGCTACAAATTCTAGGAATTTTACTCGATCGTACAGGTAGACCTAAATATAATCATTGTTTTCAGACGTAACCTGATATGATGTAATATCGCACAAAAATATCATCGTAGATTAATATTATAATCATTAAAAAATATATTTTCTGTGCAAAAAATCGAGTTTCTGAATGCTTTTTACAATCATGCAGAAAACCATCAAATGTCATTTTAAAATGTAGGGTTAAGTTTAATGCTTTTCTATTGGCCAACTTTCACGTTCGCGTTCCCGTTTACGTTTATTGTGCATGCATACATTAAATTTGGCCTTTTTGACTTTTTTCCCGTTCGCGTTCCAGTTCCCGTTCCCGTTACCGGGCTATTGTGCAGCGGCCTTAACACATGTTTTAGTCTTAAATTGTAAAATTTACTCGTTTGGATTAAAGATTATATAAGTTAATATAATATGTTATACTTTTATTATTATTGACTTTTATAATTCCTTGAAAATATGCAACCTTTAAAAACAATAATTTAGAGTGTATTTTAAAAAATAAAACTTCCAATAAATAATAAAAAAAATTATTGTCGATTTTATAGTCGTTATATATTATTATATAATTATATAAAAATAATATATATTATTATATAATTATATGAAAATTTGTAAATAAAATATTCTTCAATTTGTATACTTCTATGTAGAGACCGGATAAATAAGCACAATTTAAAAAAAAAAGTGCTTAAAAAAGTATCAAAATATTAAATAAAAAGCTCTTAAAAAGCATGAAATTTGCCAAAAAAGCACCAAATAAGCAAGTTAATTAAAAATAATTAATATATAGAGGCAAAAAAGTTGTAATAATCTTAATATTGGTGTTTATTATTTAAATGATACATTTTATTATTTTTACATTATATCTATTATTAATGTTTATGCTTTTTGTAGATTTTAAAGCCGCTTATGATACAGTAGGAAGAAAACAGCTATTTCATACGTTAAAAGAATTTAAAATACCCTCTAAATTAATAGAATTAGTAAAGATGACCCTAAGTAAGACATCAGGTTTGGTAAAGATAAATGGTAAAACATCAAAGGAGTTCCAGATAAAATCGGTACTCAGACAAGGAGATCCTCTCTCAACAGTTCTATTTAATTTAGTTCTGGAAAAAATTATAAGAGATAGCAGAATTAACAGAAATGGATCTTTATTTTCTAGAAACCATCAATGCTTAGCATATGCAGATGATGTGGTTTTAATGGCACGAACTAAGGGAGAACTACAGAGGATAGCAGCGAATCTTATAAACATGGCAGAGAAAATGGGACTTAGGGTAAACTACGAAAAGAGTAAATACATGAATATAGAAAGAGGAAAGAACACACAAGAGATGGAAGCACTAATAGTTCAAACAATTAACGGTGTAAATATTAGTTTTGAGGAGGTGGAGAGCTATATGTATCTAGGAGTTCTAATAAACAATAAAGGCGACGAAGAAGAAGAAATTAACCTAAGAGAATTATCCCTAAAAGTAAAAATAAGAATGTATAAAACCATTATAAGACCTACTGTATTATATGCATGCGAAACATCTGTATTAAATAGGAGCAATCAAATTAAACTGGAGATATGGGAAAGAAAAATTCTACGCAGAATATTTGGAGGAAAAAAAGTCGAAGAGGGGTGGATAAGGCGAACAAACGCCGAAATTTATGACATTTATAAGGAACCCATAATAACTGAAGTGGTTAAGTCAAGAAGGATACAATGGCTAGGGCACTTGGAAAGAATGGATGACCATAGGCTGGTCAAAGGTATTGGAAACAAAATGGCAGAAGGAAAAAGGAGAAAAGGAAGACCAAGGAAAAAATGGATGGAAGAAGTATTAAAGGACCTAAAAGAAAAGAAGATTGTCGGATGGAAAACAAAGGCGAAGGACAGGAAAAAGTGGAAGGAGATAACCAAGCTATGTATATATATATATATATATATATATATATATATATATATATATATATATATTATTAAGACCTAAAGGAATGTATAACTAGATGTTTCTCCAAATTTTCTATAGTAAAATTATGTCATCTGTCTGTTAAAATGTTTTTGTATGCAGAGAAACTTCGCTCCACATCCACACTGGTTATTGATGCATATTTAAATTTCTGGATAATGGCTGGATCCATTTCAAAATCGGAATCTTGCCCACCAATTAAAATAGATATTTTTTTCAATTTTTGGAACCCTGAATTTTTCGAGAGAGTCTGGACCAATTTTTCTTTAATTGTTTGACCAATAGATCCTGGAATAGTATTTACTGCAGCTTCAAAACTTTTAATAACATTGACGGATTCCAATAAAGGTAGCTGTTGTTTTTCCAATAGCTGAATACTCTGACTTACAAATTTTAAATGACTTTTAATAAAAGCTAAATTGTGTGCAAGTTCAGGTATTTTTACAACTTCCTGACATTCTTGAACTGCTTTGCTTTCTGTGCCTTCAAATTCAAGTAACAATCTCTTAAATTCTGTAAAATTATCGGCATAGTACATGGCAGCATCTAGCCAAGTTCCCCATCTTGTTACAATTGGTTCTGGAGGTAATGGAACATCAGGCAATCTCTCTTTAAAAAATTGTACTCTCAATGGAGCTTTTATGAATATTTTTTTGCCATTTTTTATTAATGTGTTGACCAACGGATACTGCAATCTTATAGTTTCTGCTATGCGGTTAAGCCCATGAGCTAAGCAGGTACAATGTATTAAATTATAGTAAAAAACCTTTAAATTTGATGCAGCTTTTATCATGCTGCAGCATCCGAAAGCATCAATAGAATTTTTTCATTCGGAACCACCTCGGGCAAAAAAAACTTGTTTAATTCCTCAAGAACAAATCTAGAAACAGTGTTATTATTCGTTTTTGTTAATTCTTTGGAACTTATTAAAAATCCTTCTGTGACGATATCTTCATTTAGAACTCCTATAATTAAGTTGGCTATATATCTCACATGTGCAGTTGTTTCATCTACAGCAAACCATATATAATTATCTGGAATGTTTTTTTTGCAATATTTATGTAGAAATTGTCTAAAAGAGCTATTCTGTAATTTATTTAATGGAATATCCGATTTAACCATAGCACTACACAAGTCAAAATTAAATTGTTTTTGTTCATTTAAATCAGAAGTTGAAGCTATTGAAGTCAAAATAGTCTGTTGTCTATTTTTATTTTCTTTTAACTTATTCAAGAGCTCCTTATGGCGTTCTGTTTGTAAATGTTGAGTTACATCGTACTTTTTCTTGCAGATGATCTGCAATAAATTAAAAATATTTTACTATCATATTCTGCTACTTACTTTACAGACAGTATAAATAGATATTTTGGTATATAGGGTGTACCAAAAGAGCGTGGCAGTTTTTTTTAATGGAACACCCTGCATTTTTTATCTTAAAATCAAAGATTCTTTGATGGGTTTATCTTAAACGGTTCTCGAGATATGAATTTTTAAACCTCCCATAAAACAAAGCAATCAAATGATTTCATTTTAAATTTAAATCCCAATAAAATGTAAACACTGTTCTCATGGAAGGTTTAAACAATCATATCTTCAAAACCGTTTAAGATAAACCCATCAATGTGGTATTTTTTGAATCGGAACGAAAGGATCTTTTATTCCAAGATAAAAAATACTACCATTAAAAAAATTCGACGTGTTCGAGCATTTTTTTTAACTCTTTTTTATCCTCTTCATTTTGAATAAATTTATTTCATACTTTATGACCACCCTGTATAAGACATAAATAAATTCTATATATTATTTAGAAATGGGTTAAATATGTTCTTAAAAAAATCAAGCTATATTTCTAATAAAAAATTGTCTCATTAAGAGGTTCAAGAAAAAATTGAGGTTAAAATTTGATTAGGTAATTTTTTTCTGTCCGCTTAATTTTGCAATCCTGTATAAGATTATGTTAAAAAAAATAATCCCATACTAGATTGATTAAAATAAAAAAAAACACTATCTAGGCGGCTTTTTATTGAAAGGAAACCATAACAGTATTGGGTTGAGAAAGTAGAATGTAAAGTCGAATAATATTTTAGAAATTAAAAGTTGTATTTTATTCAATTTATTTTATTTCATCCTGAAAATTTTCATTTATACCTTAAAATAATTCAATTTAAGTCAAAAAGGAAATCTCTTCAAAACCATAAAATAAAATCAGTAATTTTTAACAATAAATAAATACTATAATTTTACTTACAGTTTTAGAACATGCTTGACAAAAAACCTTTTTATTGTCAATTTTTAGTTCCTTGTGACCACTAATCCACTCTTCAATGGTTGGCTTTTGTTTTGGCATTGTCTAAAAAATTACCACGTACAGCAAATAAAGCGCAAGCACAATAATAGAACCCCGTAACGTATCGTGTATCTTAACTAAACATTAAAAAGCAGGGCATAAAACTTCGGGGAATTACCCGGGGATTCCCGCGATTCCTGGTGCTGTTGCCGGATGTTCCTTTTTTCATATATTTTATATGATTAAAAAAAATGTATAAAAAAAAGTTGAAATAAGCACAAAATCGAAAAAAGCATAAAACCTTAAAAAAAGCAAAAAAAGCATTAAAAAAACACTGCAATTTACTTAGTTTTGCGTAAATTCGTGTACAAATTAATTAGCTCTTGGTTGCTTATAAAATTCAGCAATAAGCATCATGCTTAAAATCCGGTCTTTACTTCTATGGGTTAAATTATAAAAAAGTTAAGTAATTAAAAACATATTAAAATTGTAAAAAGTGGTGGTTTTCGAAATATTTAAGAAACTAAAAACCAAAAATCGTTACTTCTTTTTTTGTGGGGATTTTGAACAAAAGTAAGTTTTACATACAATTACACATTTATCTACATTTTCCTCCTATTTTGAGGTACTACACCATCTTTTGTAATAATAATAATGGCCGCCATAACTTATGCAGCTCTTTAAATAAAAAAGATCCCCATACAATTTTTATATATAATCCTATATAATTATATATAACTTTTTTCCCGAGCAGGCATTGTTTCTAATGCTAAATGCTTTATTAACTTTTTTCTTTTATTGGAGGACCCAGGCAACACCTAATGTTTATTTCCATTTATATCATGTATTCGAACTACTTTTAGTTGTCATTGCTTCAGTCTATATATATTTTTTTCTTTTTCTTTCCCTCTAATGGTTTTTGCTAGCGTTTATTTTTTTTAGATAACTTCTTTTTTTTTGCCATTTCCTTAACTTTTTTTTCAGCATCTACTTTTTTATATTTGTATTTGTTAAATTTGTTTTAAATTTCGACAGGTACTTCTGCATTGCAATTTTTATTTTATCCTTTAATATTGTCAAAACTTATTAACTTCGATTGTCAGCATCATTATATAAAAATATTACAACATTAGCAAATTTGATAACCAACGGTAAATTTTTATTAATTTAAGAAGAAAAAATTAAAGATTTAAAAATAACCTAGGATTTTAGGCAATATTTATTTGAACTAAGTAATAAGAAAATTTACTCGGGTTTTATCTAAATAAGTTAACATAGTAATAAAACTATTTACACATACCTTAATTCGCGTGTGAATAAATTAGTTAAAATTTTAGCAATGATACTGAAACTGCCAACACATAAAATACAACGTTTAATAATAATAATCGCAGAAATGAAACCCTTATCCTGTAATTATTACTGTATTTGGACCCCCAGAGGAATGTGTGTCATAATTTGACAGTCTATCTCTGACAGCACAGATCGACTCATAAATAAGGAGGCTGGGAAAAGTTAGTAATCCCATTTGAGTAAATTTATATTTGATGTCATCTCGATATCTCCTACCAAAGACAATTCCCACAACACGCCTCCGAAGCCCAAACAGTCGGTCTGCGTGAGCACTGAAACCCCAGATTGTTAAACTATATCTTATGTGTGACATGAATAATGAATAATAGGTGTTTATTAAAACTTCGTATGAAACCACATCCCTAAGATTACGCAGGAGAAAGACAGATTTATTGAGCTTTAATGCCAATTGGTCAACATGATATTTCCAGCTTAACTGTTGATCTAAATATATGCCTACTTTGGACACCCCCTACCCTCCCAGTAACATTCCCATGAGTAAAATAGATACTTGATGAGGCTTTATTGAGACATAGGAAGTTAGCACAGACATTGAGTTTGTACTCTTCTTAACACGTGTTTTTAAATTATTCATTATTCATTATGTGCTAAGATAAAGGTAATATCATCTGCAAATAAAACAAGGTCATCTTCAGGGACCGACTGAGCCATATAATTTATATGAATCAGAAATAATATGGGGACACTCTATAATATATATAATTCATAATACATTTATTTCGTTCTTAATGAGTACAATAAAATAGAAGTTATACTACAATTCATTGCCATGGTATGTATAGAATTAATATAATGCAAAAACATAATATTTATTCTTCTTTTAGGCCGAGGATGAGCTGTCCAGGGAGTAGCAAGCACCTCCGCATCGATATAAATAAAAATAAAAGGTAGTACACTGTCCGGTTTGAGATTTGAGAACGCCCGCTTTTTTCACAGTGTGATTTAGCGTCGATATTGTTAGCAGATTAATTAGTTTTTGCACGAAAAATAAGGCAAAAAACCTGCTTAAATATTTGGTAGATAATGAGAACATAAAAATGGCACAATGTGATTTTTACTGGGGACACTCCCCTGTTGTACACCTATAGTTGGCTGATTCTCAAAAAATTAATAAAAATGACTCGATTAATTTGATGTTAATTTTTTAAAATTATTTTTAAGTTTCTTTTGTAAATTTGATGGTATATAGTCCAATTGTCTAAAACGTTATAGTGGTCCCCAACTTTTTTGAGTTTAAAAGGGAGTAAAGGGTTAAAAATAAGGTTCAAAAATGAGGGAATGATAGCTTCGTCAGGGAATTTTGGCTTTAAAAAAACAAATAAATCAATTGACTTTTTTTATTGCAAAACATCTACTTTTTACTACTTTTTACAATCTATAGTAATATAACAATTTAATTGTTACCCACGAAAAATATTTATTCAACACAGCTTTCGCTCTAACAATATTATCCCTAAAAATATAATCAAACAAA